GCGCCCTGTCTCCTGCCTGCAGGCCAGACCCGGACCCAGGCCCTGGCCGGGCTTCCTGGCCTGGCCTCGGACCTGCCTCGTCCCTGTGGGCTTGCTGGGTGAGCCCTGGGCTGCGTCTGACCCGGGCACTGCCTGGCCGTGCTGCTCTGCGTCCCAGCTCCTTGTTGGGAGGTCACTGCTCACGCACGCCTTGTTATCCCGCTCCGCTCCCGGCTTGCCTTCCCATGCGGAGCAGCCGGCCCTCGCTGCGCCCTCTGCTTCCCTGCAGAGACTGGGGTGATCCACCCCGTCAGCCCAGTGTCCATCTGCCCCGTCAGCCCAGTATCCATCCAGCCATGCATTCATCAGCCCAGTGTCCATCCGCCCCATCAGCCCAGTGTCCATCCACCCCGTCAGCCCAGTGTCCATCTGCCCCGTCAGCCCAGTATCCATCCAGCCATGCATTCATCAGCCCAGTGTCCATCCGCCCCATCAGCCCAGTGTCCATCCACCCCGTCAGCCCAGTGTCCATCTGCCCCGTCAGCCCAGTATCCATCCAGCCATGCATTCATCAGCCCAGTGTCCATCCGCCCCATCAGCCCAGTGTCCATCCACCCCGTCAGCCCAGCATCCATCCAGCCATGCATCCATCAGCCCAGTGTCCATCCGCCCCATCAGCCCAGTGTCCATCCACCCAAGCACCTACCCAGCCCAGCGTCCATCCAGTGGTGCACCCGTGCAGCCCAGCATCCATCCTTCCATGCACCCACCCTTCCCGGTGTCCATCCTTCCATGCACCCATCCAGCCCAGTGTCCGGGTGTCCCTGGTGTCACCGGCTCCTCACCTGCCACCCAGGTGGTCACCTGGTTCCTCTGTGGCTGCAGCAGGGCAGCTGTGGGCAGAGGTGACCCTGCTCCCCCCAGCCACGGGGGTCACCAGGAGGGCTCAGCCTGGCATGGGACGAAGGGAGGACCCAGCACCGGGCCTGGGTTTGCTGAGCGGGGGGATGGCACAGAGCCGTGACGCAGGGAGAGGTCTCGGGGTCCCCTGCCCCCCCGCCAACCCCCGCTGCCAGGGGCGAGGGGGCACCCTGGGGCCCCGCGCCCACCCG